TGCTCTCTCTGCACCAGGACAAGGACAGGATAATAGAGCACATAGATGAGTTTCTTACGTCATTTGTGTGTAGAAATGTTTTGGGTAATTTGGAGTTAAAACATACAGTTAAAATTAATTTTGGAGCTAGAAAGATGATTCCCCAGTTAATCGCTTTTCCAGAGGGACTGAGTTTGGTTCCCAGCACCTATACTGGGTGGCTCATGACTACTTCTCATAACTCCAACCAGGGAATCTGGTGTCCTCTGCAAGCGCTGCACCCATGTACACACACACACACACACACACACACACACACACACACACACAGTTAAAAAGAAATCAATTTCATTCATTTCTCTCTTTTTTAGTGTATGTCTTAGTTAGGGTTTCTATTGCTGCAAAGAGACACCATGACCATGGCAGCTCTCATGAAGCAAAACATTTAATTGGGGTGACTTACAGCTGAGAGATTCAGTTCATTATCATCATGGTGAGACATGGTGTGGTGCAGGCAGACATGCTGCTGCAGAAGGAGCTGAGAGCTCTATTTATGTCTTACAGGGAACAGAAAGTGAGCTGTCTCACTAGGTCTGATTTGAGCATATATGAGACTCTTAAAGCCCACCTCCACAGTGACAGACTTCCTCCAACAAGACTATACCTACTCTGACAAGGTCACACCTCCATTAGTGCCACACCTTTTGGGGGTCATTTTTTTTCAAACCACCACAGCATACTATTAAAAGAAAATCTGGAATCACACATGTAGTTCAACTATTCCTAATAGATGTGCTAGGTTTGTCTGAGGAATGTAGTGCCAAGGCTGACTGTCTCCTACCAAAGATCCAGTGCCTTTTCTTCATAACAAAATCCTCTCAGTAACACAGAGTAAAGTGACAAAGTCACTGTGTGTCCAGATTCCAGTGAGACGGAGCTGATACCCAGAACCCACCCACACTCAGACTCCAGAGGCACCAGGACAGCCAGGACAAGGTAGATATTGAGGAGACTGGCTGGCATAGCTGGGCCTCTGCAGCCAGGCTGGCTCAGGCCTCCTCTGTGAACAGAACTACTCATTTACAAACTCTCGCTCTGTTTCTGCATGCATCTCAGAAACTTCCTACAGCTTATCAACACAATTCACTGTAAAGCTTACTTTCTGAAAGTGCATGCTCAGTACACAGTTCAACTAAAGAACATTTCATCACCTGCCAGGGACCACTCCACACCCATCAGTACTGCCTCCTTTCCTCTCCTCTTCTAGATATGTTCTAGATATTTTCCACAAACAGGATCATAGATTATCTGTGTTTTTATGGGTGACTTATCTCCTCAAAGTCCACTTATGCTATGTCGGAACCTCCTGCCTTTTTTTATAGATAAGTGGCAGATAATCGTATGGATGGACTGTGCATTTATCATTATTATTAGAAATTTGTTTGCTCACCCCTTTTTTGCTGTTATAGTCACAATGAACACTTGTATGTATGTTTTGTTTGCTTCCATTTTTATTTATTTGAGGGAGCGCCTTGCTATGTAGCTGAGTCTGGCCTGGGATTCACTATCCTCCTGCATCAACCTCCCCAGTGCTAAGAATATGCCCAGCTTGTCTCCCAGTTTTGTGTGGATACATTTCCACGTATCTGGAGTCACTTTTTCACTGTGATGGTGGCATCATTCTAGGCTTCCATTTGTGGTACAAAAGTCTCACTTCCCACAGTCCCACCCACACTTGTCAAAGTCTTTCTTCCCTCTTACCCACTCTGTGGGATCCCCAACTCAAGGGCCAAGAGCAGGTGTCTCCTCTACAATGAAGGACTTTGCTCCCCTGGCTGCTACTGGGCTGTACCAGGCCTGGCCCTCGGCAGGTACATTGGGAAATGGGTGACACCGTTGCTGCCTGGAACAGAGTTGTCTCATGCACCCAAAGGAGAGACTAGAGGTATCCTTCCAGGGCTTACTCCCATCTGCATTCTGAACCCTGCAGAGCCAGAGGAGGAGAGGCTAAACGACCCCATGCCCTGTCCACCTTCTTGAATATTCTGTCCTAAAGAGAAAAGGAGGCTTGGTCTCAGATGTGGGCTTTTAAGAATAATTTATTTGTATTTTATGTACATTGGTGTTTTGCCTGCATAGATGACTACTGTGGTGTCAGATCCCCTGGAACAGGAGTTACAGACAGTTGTGAGCTGCCATGTAGGTGCTGGAAATTGAACCCGGGTCCTCTGAAAGAGCAGCCAGTGAGCCATTTCTCCAGCCCCCAGATATGGTCTTTTGAAGGTGGTATTGCAGTTCCTTGAACTCTTCAGCAAATATGGGGACAAGGGCATGAATCCCACCTGACTTCTGCAATCCACACTCCTTCAAGATCCATGTGTGAATTTGAAATCATCCCCAGAGGATGCCCTGCCACCCAAATGGCCGTCACACAGGACTATGGACCCACACAGAGCCAAAAACCATGGTCAGCTACACCACAGGGTCCCTGTCCACTTAAACTTAAGTTACATGGCCTTTATAATGACCCACGTGAACTGTGTGGAGAGCTCGTCGTACATGCTCAGGGGGAAGTCACTGTGACTGACACTTGGGGTTCATCAGAGAACAGGAGGAAATCTTTGTAGAATTTGGGACGACCATGCAACTTAAGAAAGTGGGCTGTCCTAGTTAATTTTCTATTGTTCCGAAGATACCATGACCCAGGCAACTTAGAGAAGAAAGAATTTACTTGGGATTACAGTTCTAAGGGAGAGTCCATGACCTCCAGGACAGGAGTCTGGTGGCAGGTAGAGCTTGAACTGCCAGAATGAGGCAGAGTGAGAGGTACAGGCTTTTTGAAACCTCCAAGTTCAATCCCCAGTGACACACCTTCTCCAGTGAGGCCTAACCTCCTGGTCCTTCCCAAACAGTTCCACTGTCTGGGGACCAAGCATTTAAACATATGAGACGATGGGCTCATTCTCATTCAAACCACTACATGGGCTATGGACCACTCTAGGAACAATTGTGATCTATGGAAAAGAAAATGGACAGATGGGGTGGGAAGGCAGGGATGGAGGTTAAGATGCCCTTTCAGGAGCCGGCAGTGGTGGTGCACGCCTTTAATCCCAGCACTCGGGAGGCAGAGGCAGGCGGATCTCTATGAGTTTGAGACCAGCGTGGTCTATAAGAGCTAGTTCCAGGACAGCCTCCAAAGCCACAGGGAAACCCTGTCTTGAAAAAAAAAAAAAGGCCTTCCAGGAAGAGGTACTGAGCAACAAAAGGGAAAGAAATCCACGAGAGAGAGAGAGAGAGAGAGAGAGAGAGAGAGAGAGAGAGAGAGAGAGAGAGAGAGAGAGAGAGAGAGAGAGAGAGTGCCAGCCTGCTCAGGAACAATACAGGATCTGGATCTGGGGATTGGGGCAGAATGCCTTCACCAGAACCTAAAGAAGACAGGTTAGGCTGGGTGCTGTGGCACACGGCTTTAATCCCAGAACCCGGAAGGCAGAGGCAGATGGATCTCTGAGTTTGAGGCCAGCCTGGTCTACGTAGTGAGTTCTAGGACAGCTAGGGCTACACAGAGAAACCCTGTCCAGAAAAAAAACAAAAGAGGAGGAGGAAGAGGCAGCAGGTTAGCAACACCCACCTACTCCGGACATCAAGTTCAGGGAAACTCAGCCCACAGAGGAAGACCAAGGGAATTTAGGATTACAAGCTCTACTAAGCATCTACAGTTGACTGACACCATCCACACGATCTCATTCGGTTCTCGTAAAGGCCTTGCCAGGACAGAATTGATCCCTGCTATTGTTACACATAAGGATGAAGCATATGAAAAGGTGAGTTACTATTCCAGGGTCACACAGGAAGGAAAACCAGCTGTAGCTCTGAGCACAGGAGCCCAACAGCCTGGGCTCCTGTGGGTTTCTTTCCATTTTGTTGCTCAGTACCTCTTCCTGGAAGGCCTTTTTTGTTTGTTTGTTTTTCAAGGCAGGGAAGATGAATGGCTCAAGTTACTTGGGTTAGGTGCTGTGGTGCTTAATCGTGTAAGTCAACCTGGCCAAGTCATGGTGCCCCAACACCTGGTCAGGGAGAAAATTCCAGGTGAGATTTGTATCAGCAGCTTTAGGTAGGGTATATGATACCCAGACTGTGGGTGCACCTCAGCCAAGCAGGAGGTTTGAAGGTAGCTATCAACCTCCATGTGTCCTGCATAGTCCCCACTGGGCCACCCCACCTGTCTATACAAGACACAAGCCCTGTCCAACTGGTAGTTTTTCTGGACAGTGTGGCCACACGGAGCAAAAGGCACTTGGAAGAAGACCCAGTCCTGATGGCCACGCTAGCAAGGGGGAGGATCAGCAGCCAGGCCAGTGCCCAATACATGAGAAAGGCCTTGCAGGCTGCACCACAATTGACTCTGAGGCCCCCAACCCGGCTTCTGAGGGCCCTGGCTAGTCACACTGCAGCCAGTCCTGCCCTGCTTGTCGCTGCCGGGAGCATTCAAACCCATCGGTTATTTCCAAGGGACATGCACTGGGCGGGGCTGAGCTTTGACAATCCTTGGGCTGTTTATCCTTCAGGTTGCCCACCTGGCCTGAAGTCATTGACCTCTGCGTTGGCCGCTCTGCCGTGCACGGTTCACGCTTGTCTCAGAAATCTTGGCCCGACCGCTGCAGCGCTTCCAGACGACTTTCCCCTGCACACTCTTCCACGCTCCATTGAAATTCTGAGCTTATGGTGAGAAAGAAGGGGTGGGCCAGGCTTGAGTAAGGGGCGCGGTCACGTCGGGAGGTAGGCAAGAACTCGGAGGCGGGGTAGAGGAGAGGGAGTGTCCGAATGGAGGTGGGCGTGGTCTCATCGGCGCTGAGCTGGGCCAGGGAGTGGACCGATAGGCCTAGAGGATGAAGGGGCGTGGCTATGTGGTCGGAAACCCAGTCCTCAACCCCGGGGACTGAGTGAGGTTAAGTGGTTCAAGGCGGGGCTTCGGGGAGGGGCCTGGGGCGGGGGGCGGGGCTTCAGGCCCCCCAGTCAGTGTATCAACTCCAGTTGTCCTGAGTGCTCATTAATCGGGTCTCACCAGCTGCTTCTCTCTGCTGTCCTGGCCCGGAAGCCTTGCCCCCAGCCCCCAGCCCCCCCCAAATTCTGTGCGACACCCTTCTCCCGCCCCGCACTCTCGGGCTAGACTCGCTAACTTCGCGGCAGAGCAGCTCCATGAGCACTCTAGGGGATCAGGTACGGGACTGGCATCACGGCGTACTGGCCGTGGCGCGCGAAGACTTGGAACGCGCGCTGTGCCTCTTCTCAGCCGTCCGGGAGCCGCCGGCCAAGATCTACTTCAACATGGGCTGCGTGCACCTGATGGCCGGGGATCCCGAGGCTGCGTTACGGGTAAGCGACCCTGGGACTGGTGACAGAGACCCTCCCCTGGTGGAGGCCTAGAGGGGAATGCAAAGGAAGACGTGACTGCGGGCATGACTCCTTATCTTCCAGTGGACACCCTAGAAAAGGATGCCCTTCTCCACCGCATAGCCACCTGGAAGGGAAGGAATTCCTGCCCCTTTACCTCGTCGTTTACCTAGATATTGTTCCACTAATGCTCCCTCTTAGTGACTGCCTGAAGCAGGTAGGAGCTTTGTGGTTGGGAGACCCCTCTCTTAGTTGTGGCCAGAATGGGGCACAGGGCACACAGCCACATGGGCCAAGTGCCGTCAGGACTGAGGGAGGGACATACCTGAAGCTGAAGGCAGGCTGAAGGCTGGGCCAGAGTCAATAGGCCGGGGCTCTGCCTGTAGTGATGGTGGCATATACAGTCCGTCTTCCCAGTTTCGAGGACTCCCATGTCTGCCCACCTGCTTCTCAAAGCACAACTACCCAGGTTCACACCCTGTAGAGGAGGCAGTCAGGGCATTCCCTGCTTCATGTTCATCAAAGGGACAGCCATTCCTGGCTGTGTGGTAGAAACCCACCCACCGACAACTTAGACATCCGCACGGCAGTGATCTACCCGGATACCACGCAGAGGAGAGGCAAAGATACCCGGGCACAGGAGAGGCAAAGACACCCGGCCACCACGGGTGAAAGCAGGAGGCCTGGCTGTGCTGAGATGGTCTCTTCTACTATTTCTCCCTTGAAATTATTATTTACTTATTTACAGGTGTGTGGGAGTCAGTTCTCTTCCACCACGTGGGACCTCCTGGTAATCAAACTCAGGTCATTAGGCGTGGTGGCAGTGTCTTTACACACTGCGGCATATTGCCAGCCTCTTCTATTGTTTTTCACATATGCATCTGCACCTACAATTACTTCAGAATTGCTTCTTCACTAAAAGGTTGTTGTTCGCCAGGCGGTGGTGGTGCACACCTTTAATTCCAGCTCTTGGGAGGCAGAGGCAGGTGGATCTCTGTGAGTTCCAGGCCAGCGTGGTCTACAGAGCGAGTGTCAGGACAGGCCCCAAAACTACACAGAGAAACACTGTCTCAAAAAACAAACAAACAAAAAAAGGGTTGTTGTTCAACCCAGGCATAGTAGTGCACGCCTTTAATCCCAGCACTAGGGAGGCAGAGGCAGGCAGATCTCTGAGTTTGAGGCCAGCCTGGTCTGCAGAGTAAGTTCCAGGACAGCCAGGGCTACACAGAGAAACCAAGTATCAAAAAAAAAAAAAAAAAACCAAGACAAACAAAAAGGTTATTGTTCAGGAAAGGAAATGTGACGGTCTGTTACCAGGTGGTTAACAGTGAGTCATGTGTTAGGCCAATCCAGTGCTCGCCTCCTCACACTGTAACTAGAGAGGGGTTGGAAATGCTCTGCAGTAAGAACAAGAATGGGCACTATCTTGGAAAAAAAGAATGGGCACTACCTTAAGTCAATAAAGCCACTATGCGTGCAAGCCTCGGCGTATCAGTTACACCCGGAAGCCCTGAGAAGCAGGTGGTGCAACCGCAATAAGGAAAACCAGGGGCGCAGGTGTGATGTGGCTGCTCCTCAGCCCGTCAGTGTGAAACGTGTGACGTTGGACGTAGCCGCCAGCAGCCCCACCCCCCATTTCCAGGTTGATTGTGGCCTGTGAAAGCTTCAGGTCAGATCCAGTTCAACAGTCAGTCCACCTGGCCAGTCTGGGTGTCAGGACACTACACCAGGTTTAACTGATGGCTGCTTTCCTTTCTTGAGGACACCCATTTCTGTGTCTGGTTTAAGTAGCTGTGCTGCCTGCACACAGAGGACTTCCGTGTCCCGATTCTTGTGTGTCTTGTGTGAACTACCGAAAGAGATCTTGAAAGATTTATTTATGTATTTTATGTATGTGAGTGCCGTGTCTGCATGCATGCCTGCACACCGGAAGAGGGCATCGGATCCCATTATAGATGGTTGTGGAACAACGTGTGGTTGCTGGGAATTGAACTCAAGACCCGTGGAAGAACAACCCCCTCTGGCCCCTGAAAGGAGATTTTAAAAAGCCAAAAGTCTTTATGTGGTGGTGGCGCATAACCTTAATCCCAGCACTCGGGAGACAGAGACAGGTGGATCTCTGTGAGTTCAAGGCCAACCTGGTCTACATAGAGAGTTCCAGGACAGCCTCCAAAGCTACAGAGAAACACCCTGTCTCAAACAACAAATAAACAAACAAACAAGCAAAGCCAAGAATCTTATATAGTCCTGTCTCCCAGAGATAACTGTTACTGACATTTTGGAGCATTTTCTTTTAGTTCTGTGCTTGCTGTGGACAAAATGGGTTTCTATGCCATAGGGATATGCCCTGAGCTCATCGTGGGGTGCTTGGGGCAGCTGAGAAATCCATGCTGTGACACATTGTCTGGGCGCTAGCTTGGCAGGCACCTGCTGCAAGCAGCTCTCATAAGGTGATAGATTTCCATTTCCATTGTGGCATTGGATTCTCGGGTTACTGAGTTTGCTGTTCCACAAGCATTTTTGTCCCTAGGCATTTGACCAAGCAGTGACCAAGGATACCTGCATGGCTGTTGGCTTCTTCCAGCGGGGAGTGGCTAATTTCCAACTGGAGAGGTAAGCACAGCAGGATCCCCTCCCTGTTCCTTATTGGATGGGTCTTTGTCTCTGCAAACCAATGCTTGCCCCCACTTCCTTCCCTCTCTCCTCCGGATCCCCTCCAGCCTGGATGAGGATGCTCTAGTTAGGCTGGGGCCCACACTTGGTCTTGTCTCTGTCAAGATTCATGTCTGTAGCAGTGAGAACACTGTGTTTATAGCCAGTTTGCAGATGTGAAAACAAGGGCTTATTCAAGGATGTGGATGGCCTTCCAGTTTTCCAAGAGCAGTAAGGGAGGAAGGATAGTCAGAGCTGTGGGCTGCAATCAGCCCAGGGGGAGTGGAGAATCTAGTGGGCGACAGAGATTCCATCCAGAGTTGGAAGCTCAGAGATTGGAGGAGGCCCCATAAGGTTGGGCCTCAGAGGCAGGAAAAAAGGGCCCGGGACAGTGGGAAGAGGTTTTGGGGTGTAAGCAGCGACCCCTGTCAGGCAAAGAGAGCGCTGCTCGGGAGGCTAAGCAGCACTGGACAGTAAACTCCCATTAAGCATGCTGGTCTGGACTCAAGTCCCAGGAGGTGCTATTTCTAGGTGACCACTGTTGCCTTCAGGCCTCCCAAAGCTGGCACAGAGAGGAGGGTGGGTGGGGTACCCCAAAGCTCCTCCTTTGTGGCTGTTGCGAGGCCCCTGATGCTCACAGGTTCCAGGAGGCCGTGTCTGATTTCCAGCTGGCCCTGGCACAGCTGAGAAGCAACGCTGCCATTGACTACACACAGCTGGGTCTGCGCTTCAAATTGCAAGCCTGGGAGGTGAGTGGGCATTTCATGTGTGCAGAGTTCAGACGCCAAGCAGTCACTGGGGCTTGGAGGTACTCTCCACGGCCCTTGGGTTCTGCTGGGAGACCTAGGGTTCTGCCATGGCACTGGGATGCAGTAGGGGTCCCACCATGTCGTCTGAGGTCCTGGCTGGAGCCCTGGGGTAAAGTCTAGAGTGTTGGCAGGGGCTGTGTCACCTTTATGTTGGTGTTACTGTCATGGCCAGCCCTGGGGAATGAAGTGTCTTGTCTAACTAAAAAAGTTTTGAAGCCCTGAAGTGCCCCAGCTCCTTGATTGGAGGCTAGAGAGGCAGTGGAGGGAGCCGACTACTTATATACTTTGAGCCAGCCAGCATGGGCTCATGTGGGAGAAAAGCAAGACAGAATTGAAGATCCTAACAAGGTGACAGACCAGTTTGGGGGGAGGTGAGGGGTAGCTCAGCAGTACCTGCAGCTGAGCCAGAGGACACAGTAAGAAGCAATAGGGAGAGTGAGTGTGTTTCTCTACTTGTAGCAAAGCTGGGTTTCTTGTGTGTGTTCCTCCCCAGGGTGAAGGGAGGATGGGCCCCCAGAATCATGTGAGCTCACGTGTCCCTGGGGCTGTAGGGTAGCCTTAACTCAGTCCACTTTGCCCATTAGAATGTTCTGAATGTGGGGTTCTGGATGTCTCTGGACAGCCAATCGGAACCCCTAGAGACACTCTAGACTCGGGGGTACAGGGAGCAGTTAATGGGAATGGCTGAGTATAGAATTAGGAGGATGTTAGCCAAGGGAATACATTGTGAGCCACCATGTGAGAGTTGGAAATCTAACCCAAGTCCTCTGGAAAAGCAATGAGTACTCTAACCACTGAGCCATCTCTCCAACCTTCCCCCACCCCACCCCCACCCCATTCACAGCAGCACAAGGGAGAGCTATTTCTGCTGTTCCAAGCAGAACAACTTAAAGCAAAACATGGCCCTCCCAGGAGTAAACAAGATAACAGGGAATGACCATTTGGCATCTGACAACTGAGCCAGCTGGGCAGCAGGTGGCCTGGTCCCTACCTATGGCTCCAATGCCAACTGAACATACAGAAGATCCTCCAGCTACTGTGACTGGGGCGTACGTATGAGGACCATCTTGGGGGCCTGGACCCTGCTGTCTTGTCTGCCCTTGTTCCTAGGTCCTATACAACATGGCATCAGCAGAGTGCCAGGCAGGGCTCTGGGCCAAGGCTGCTGATACTCTAGTGGAGGCAACTTCCAAATGGCCAGAGGGGGCCCAAGGCGTCCTGGACACTGCCCTGGACCAAGTGCAGGTGAGGACAGCAGGTGACAATCACACTGCCCGCATGGCACATATGATGGGAGCCTGAGCAGTCCCTCTGCTTCAAGACTCGGGGTTCTTGCAGCTGTGGCCACCCAGGTCTACGTGTTCCATTCCAGAAACGGGCACCCCTGCAACTCCGGCAAGTCCCCACGGGTGAAGTCTTCCAGCCTCCCAGGCAGTACCTACAGCACCTGAAGCCCATGGATTTCCTGGGCAAGGCTAAGGTAAAGCACTAGGGTGTTTTCTAGCTTGGGTACCCAGCTCCCAGAATGGCAGCTGTGGCCTATGTCAAGCTCACAGGGTGGTGGCTCCTGCACTGGACATCCAGTGTGTTCATGAGGACAGCTGGGTGTAGTCTAGGCCACTTGAAAGACAGGTAGGGCACAAGGCTCCTAGGGTTGGGAGTGAGTGTTCACACATGAGGCTGTATGCCCGGAGGCAGAACTTACAGGAAGTCAGCTTTAAAGCAGGGGCTCCAGCCCTTGCATGGGAATCCCCAGCGGTGCCCCTCCCATCCCCCTCTCTTCTCCCATTGCTCCCAGTATCTGTGCATTTTCGTGTATTTTGTTTCTGCGTCTCTGCTACAGACAGCAAGGTCCCAGAAGGGATGTGTGTGCCCATTCTGGGCCATATCAGGCCCCCTAAACCACCTCCAAACAGAAGAGAGTACCTTAAAGAAAATAGTCATTTGCAGTGTCACAAAGACGGGCCAACTTGATGTTGCACTGATGATCCCTGGGCTGGCCGCACACCTATGGTCATTTGCCGCAGCACTCATGCTGGACCTATCAACTCTATGTGACCACGTGCAGCTGCCTGAGGGGCACACTGCCTGTGAATGTCCCCCGAGGTGGACTGTGTGTAGGCGGAGAAAACACTGTCCTGTGCGCCCGTCAGAGGTGGCTTAGACCACGGTTATAAGAAACAAAAATATTTAAAAAGTTGTGCTAAAATTGAGTTGATGTTAGTAGTACATGTTTCTCTTGGTCATACTTTTTTTTTAAGACTTGAGCTAGGTGTAGGCTGCACACATCCTGCAGATTACAGCTGGAGGTGCTGGGAATTGGGGACCTGGACTCAGTGGGGCCCTAATCCAGCTGTATTTCTGCTCTCACTAGGTGGTGGCATCTGGCATCCCTGACAACCACAACACAGATGGCTGGCCTCAGCAGGTAGGTGGGTAGGCATGGAGCAGACCCAGGCCTATCTTTGCCTGGTTTGCAGAACTGTGCACAGATAAACAGGGCGTAGGCAGGTGGAGCCAAGGACTTGAGCCACATGGTGAGAAAGCCTTGAGGATGAGGGTACCCCTCCTCCTACGGATGGGCTGAAACCTAGACCTTCAAAGAGTTTGCATCCACTGCATTCCCACTCCTCCTGAGGGACAGCTCTGACCTGGCAGGGATGGCTGGTCACTCCCATTCATTCACTTGTCATGAGCGTAAGCTTCTGAGAGGGCAGGCAGCCTCATTGACAACCAGGCCAGGGATATGGTAAGGATCAGCCATAGTCACCTGACCCCAGGGGATGGACTAGGGGGGCCAACTCACTGGCACACACTCAGACCCACCACAGGGACCAGATGGGGGCTGTCAGCAGAAAGTTGGAGCCTCTGTTGGATGTACGGTGATCAGATCACATGACAGTCTGGGGAAAGGCATGTCAGAAGGCCCAAACAGTGCCAACCTCCTTCCTAGCCATTGCAAGTTCTCAGAGCCCCTTGCGCCTGGGTGAGGAGTGCTTGGGCAGAACCCTTGCTGCCAGACTGCGGCCCCAAGAGCCAGTGGTGAGCACTTTAGGAGAAGGTTTGATGTGGAATTATTACAGGACACAGGACAGTCACCTCCTCTTTAGTTCTGTCAGGGATTCAGTTCGTCCCAACCCAATAGTTCCATGTCCTTAACAGCAACCTTTTACAGCTAAGCTCAGAATCCCCGGGTGCTTAAAGCTGCATCTGCCAGCTCCCGTACTGGGCTGTGAACTTCACAAGGGCCACACATTGCTCTTCCAGTCTCCCTTCAAAAACATTTCACAAGCCACGCCCACCCATGAGTGCCCAACAGAGGCTAGAGGTTTCCACCTCCTCGCCAACCCAAGGCTGGGCACCTATTCAGAGTTTGTCCCGGGCTTCTCAGGGTCAATGGAGAAGCCACAAATCTGGAGTTGGGGATTGATAGAAGACCTGGGGAGCAGGCTGACTCCCCAGTGGTGCTAGGTGAAAAGTTTCTGCACCCCGGTAAGCCTGATAAGCAATCCAAATCAGACAAGATCAAACCAAATTAGAAAAAAAAAAACCCACGTTTAAAGGATACAATGCTCCTGGATGACCTTCCAGCCCCCAGAGAGAAGATGGAAAAGAGAGACTGGGAAACCACGAGTCTGTTTTCTGGGGGGGCAGTTTAAATACCCCATGGGGTGGTCTTTAGCATCTCTGCAGTAGGGGTCATCATTTGGCGAGCTTTCTGAGATGCAGCAGGATTTGAAGAGAGATAGGGGAGGGGGCTTGAGGTGAAGTTTCCACCAGAACCTGTTCTAGACTCAGCCCTTTCCCAAGGTGTGCCTAGGGTCTGGGCCTACCATGCATTTACTCCCAGACTTCCTGCTAACTGCTGGCCAGGCTTTCAGACTACATCCTTGACTACTGGCTCTGCCAGGACTGAACCCAAGGAGTTGCTCCCTTGAGTCCAGATCCACCACCTCAAGATCCCTGTACTCTAGGCCCCACCCCAGGACTACACTCTTTTGTGGGGGGAGTTTTGTAAATTGTTTATACAAATCCAACAATGGTAAAGCCACATCAAGGGATGTTTAGGAAACACCACCACACAACAGTGGTTCTATGGATGCAGAACTTGACAATTAAAGAAACCACATCAGGGATGTTTAGCAAACACCTCCATACAACAGTGACTCTATGGATGCAGAGCCTGACAATTGGAGAGTAGCCAGGTTACCAGCTTCAATGAGACCTGAACACTTCAAAGGAGGGGAAAAGGAAAGGAGGCTATGGACACATTTATTCTACTTGACCCATGGTATAAATTAGATCTATGCAGATGGAATACAAGAGCTCATGCTTGGAGCAAAACCCTCCTGACTGTAAAGGCTGGAGTCTGAATTGTAAACTTGTGAGGACAAGGCGAACTCTCTGTTGAAACTTGGCAAAGTGTTTTACCTAGACTGTACTCTGCACTTATCCACAACATGCTCATGTGTGTAACTTCTTGACATACAAGTAGGCTCTCGCCATCCAGTTAAACAAGCTTTTAAGTGGAAGGCTGTAGCTGCTGTCACACCTGGGCACATCTGCAGATGGGTTTCTCACACTGATGAAGTCCAGGGAAAGTGCCCTCCCACCTGAAGGAAAGTTGGCAATCTAAACAATAAAACACTGGCATGCATTCAAGTCTTGCATAAATAAATTTTAAACCATTTATGTTCTGCGTAATGTAAGAGGTAACAAAATCAAACAAAACATATCGAGGCCGCTGTAGATGGCATGTGTGGGGACTGACACTGTTGAGGTCCTGCTACCCCTGTCTTCCTTTGCAGAGGTCCCAGGTGGAGCAGGCCGGCCATCAGTCTCCTCCATCCGTGGGTAAGAGGACACTGAGCAATAAGGGTAGGAGGAGCCGCCTCAGGAGAACTGGGACGTGGGCACTTGTCCCTTAAAGGAAGTTTGGGGCAAGGGACAGCTTCCTGCCGGTCTACTTCAAAGTGTCTCCTTTGTGGAAAGGTGGTCCCATGAGTCATGCTCTATGCTACAATTTACTGGCATCTGGACGGCCTGCCCCGGGCCCCTCTGAAGACTCCTCAGGAACTGGGGTAAGAGCCATCCTGCTCTCTAATCCCTCCTCAGCAGCCTCTTGGAGCAAGGACGCCCTAGTCAGATTCCGTCGTCCTCCTTTTAGCCCAGCCTCTACTCTGATCCCTTGGGTCCAAGGACCACCCTGCCTTCAAAGGCTATACAACACTGTTTCTGTCCTGTCCTCAGGGAGCAGCTGCAAAGGACCCTGAATCTTTGGTGACTGTCACCGTACAGTGCCACTTTACTGTGCCCCTGAAGGCCCCGAGAGACACTGACCTATCCAGTCTTCGAGCGTTGCTGGCTCAAGCCCTCCTCCATCAGGCCCATGTGGGACAGCTCAGGTGAGTCAGAAAGCTGTGCGGGAGGGGACCCTACGTTGCAGGGGAAAAGGGTGGATCTGAGCTACAAGGAAGTGAGGGTTGCCCTGAACTGGTCACTTGTCAGGCCTAGGAAGGGACCAAAGCTAAGACCTCCTTAGCTCTATGCTTAAGATCCTAGGCAGCCACTGGAAGTAAGGGCCAGGACTGGAGAGTGACACCAGACACTCCCCTACATACTGTAGCCCAAACTCCCTTTGCAGTTACCAAGCCCCAGGAGAGAAGTTCTGGGTCCCCATCCCCACAGAGGAGTCACTGCAGAGTGTGTGGAGGAATGCAGCCACCGGCCCAAGAGGGTTGCAGCTCCAGTGCCGGGTGAGCCGGGGGATGGGGTGGGGGGAGGGAGACTGTCATGCCTACTGTTGGCAGCCCAGGCAGGTACAGGGGAAGCCCCTCTCTTGTGCCACCCCTGAAGCCCACCCTTCTGCCACAGGGGGCTTGGGGCCGACCGGTCCTCTACCAGGTAGTAGCTCGACATGATTACTCAGCCCAAAGGCCCGAGGATTTGGACTTCCACCGAGGGGACACAGTGGATGTTCTGTGTGAAGGTAGGACAGGACTACCCTTCCCCAACACTGCCGGCTTGCCCAGGCCTGGTGGGGGCTTTGCTCTCTAGGGCTCGGTCTTTGCTGTAAGTAGACACACCATCGACATGTCTCCACAGTGGACGAATCCTGGCTGGAGGGACACCGAGATGGCTGCATCGGCATTTTCCCCAAGTGCTTTGTGGTCCCAGCTGGGACCTATGTGGAAGCCCTACCCGGTCCAGGACCCAAGCCAGGAGACCAGCATTAGCAATACATTTTGTGACAAGAGCAGCTTTAATTTAAACAAACAAAAACTATTCCCCTCCTCCCTATGTGGTCCACCTCCTGGGATCGATGATAAACGGGATCCAACCAAAAGTTTTTGGGAGAGGGAAGCTGGGTTGGCCCACAGATCTGGATTCTGACTGTCTGGTCCAGTCTGATTATAGTAAGGAAGCAGGGATCTCTGCTGGGCTGGCCACAGTCTTCAGAGGTAGCCCTAGTCCCACAACTGCCCTTCCCCAGAACCTTCTGTTTCCATCCCTTGGGAGATTACAGACCCCATATCCAGTGCCACCTTGAGGGCAGAGGGGAGCCAGTATTGTCAAGAATTGACCCTCCTGGTCTGCTCGATGGCCTGGAGCCCTTAATGGTCAGGGGTTCATAAAGGCAGACATCCAGGATGCGTCCAGCAGGTCCTGTGTGCTAAAGGCTCACAAGGCAGGCAACACAAACATTTATGTTGTTGCTGTTGAATCCCAACACGTGAATTGCTTTAGATGCATTGCATCTGTGATCTGTTTCAGCCTGGGTTTATCTAGTCCTGGGTCCAGAAGAAGTGGACTGCAGCCGCTCCTAGAATGGCCACAAGGGTCAGCACTGCAAATACGACTCCAGCCATCCAGATGCTGTAGCTCTGAGCCCGCCACTGGGTCAGTGCCTCGGCTGGAATCATGCCTGTAAGGTTCAGCATGTAGCCCAGTGTCCAGCCAATGTCCATGCCACCTGCCTGCGAGACACACAGCTGTTCAGGGCTGCTGGGTGGCTGCCCATCTCATTCTTACCCTGAACCAGACATGCTGAGGCTCTAGGTGCCAGTCACCTGCTTCTGGAACTGGATGCTGGGCCAGGTCTCCTCACTGAATTTGTAGCCCTCGAGCAGCAACACCAGGATGTACAGGCCTGAGGCACAGTAGTCCCGCAGCCAGTGTTCTTCCCCGGGGTAGCTGGCTTCCACCTTGAGTTCCAGAAGCCAATGAGTAAGTGAGGTCCCAAGGCTTCCCAGCACCCAGACCCCAGCTATAATGGGACCGCCATACATCCAGTCTCCAGACATCAGGACAGTGTTAAATGTTTTTAAAAGCCCCTCCCTAAGTCCCCGTGGAGACTCTCCTGCAGCTAGGAGTGGGTGGGGTGGCAGCCTCATGACAACCAGAAGCTGATCCCAACAGGGCCCTGGACATTTTTCTATCCAAAGCAAGCCACTCTCCCTACCACGGTGTTTTCCTCCCCAGTCCTGGTACCCAAACGTGGCTTCTGTCCAGGAAAATGCAGTAAGACCCCAGAAGCCCTACTTGGCATGGTGAGGTATAGAGAGGGGGCGAGGGCCAGCACCTACTTGTTTCCAAGGTTTCTGACAGAACCTCCAGATAGTGTCATTGACGATGTTCAGTGGCTGCCTGGAGGTGAGGTTCAGGAAGTGGAAAGTGTAGTAAAAGTTGGAAAACGCCTGGGGGAAGTAGAGAACGCTGCGTCAGCCCCAAGGAGGCTCGGGACCCTCTACACGGGTATCCCCTCCAGTTTTGCAATCTCCAAGGAGCCATCCGGGCCACCTCCTGTTCCCCCTGTCCTTGGAGCCCCTGCGGTCAGAAGGGCCCCAGGAGGAAGCCCGAGCTTGGTGGGCGCTGCTCACATAGAACTGGCCATGCACGGGAGGCTGGTAGACTCCATTGAAAGCACAAGCTTCTTGGCCCTTACAGCTGGAGAAATTGAAGAGGCGTTGGAGGGCTGCCACACAGTCCCCAGGGTTGCCTATCCCTTCGACTGTGACGTTCTGGGTGAGGTTCAGGGAATCTGTAGTGTGGACACAGGGTGACTCATACAGTGGCGCCAGCGACAGTGTGGCCTGGTAGCCGCTATGGTAGCATGGGTGTCTGACCGGGCCTACTGGGCTTCTCTGCAGAGAGAGGAAAGGGCATGGACCCTAAGCCCTGCTGCAGTCCGCCACGCTACCCCATGCCTTCCCACGTCTCCATCCTTCAAATAGCAGCCTAACCTGTGCCAGCTCTGCCAGGAGTCTTCTCAGGACCTGGTCTCGCCCAAAGCAGAGGTAGCTATGAGTATAGATGCTATAGTTGGCACCGTACAGACGGAAGGTAGCCTGGGTGCTCTGGTCCCCGATGGGGCCCTGAGGCACGAAGCTGATCTGGGTGGAGGCCCCACCCAGGTCCAGAGCACCAACCAGCATCCTCTCTTCAGGCAGGATCCACTGTCCGGAGGAATACTGAAGCACAGATGAAATGCTTAGATCTGGGCAGCCACACTGGCCCTAGCTGCTGGCCAGCCAGCCCCAGGCACTGGGCCTCTCAGACCAACCCCTCACCCTTGGGCTGCCCCTGCACCTTGAGGAGCATTCCCAGGACGTAGTTGATTGTGATCCAACCAAAGGCACCTTCGTCCTGCCCAGTCAGGATCTTGGCACCCCAAAAATCTACGGGAGACTTGCTTAGTGTCTGGGAGACTGCAGCCAGGATGTCTCTCGCTTGAGAGCTGTTCTTCTGGCTGGGTAGAGAGGGTCACGCAGTAGGAGAGCCTAACCCCAACCTCCATTGTACCTCAGCCCAGGCTCCACCGCATTTCACCCCAGGGTCTTCAAGCCTGGCTTTCTGGAGTGACCCTAACAGATGCAACCTGTTACACTCACCTGAGCAGTCTCATTCCTGCTGTGGCCCCCAAGAATGTGGGTGTCTCTTGATGCTGGGTCTGCGGGATCAATGCCAGCGCCTCCTCCAGGCAGCTCTTCAGGCTTTCCCCAGCCTGTGCTGGGTCAGAGGCGTAGGAAGAGATCCCAGGTCCTGAAACACAGTACCCTAGGAAAAGGCTCCAGATCTGAAGGTTGGGACTCAGTGGTGGCCCCCAAAGACGCGACACACCCTAATGTTTGGAACCTGTGAATGTAACCAAGTTTGGAAGAAGGAAGTTCCCAGGTTAATTAAGGATTTTTGAATGGGGCATGACGGTGCTTGCCGATCACCATAATACTCAGGAAGCTGAGGCAGGGGATAGAGGGCTCAAGGCCAGTCTGGGCTACACAGCAAGACTCTGTCTCAAACAACAACGAAGGAATGTATAGATAAGGCTAGTTTGGTTGCCCGGTGGATCCCAGTCTAGTGACTACAATCCTCGCATGGAAAGGTAGGAAACCCCAAGTTTCTCCCACTTCTGGGCTCCTGGGGAGTGTGCCTCTGCCACCCCCAGGCCTCAGGCTTTTGGTCTCTAGGACTGAGAGGAACCCCAGGAAATGAACTCGGGGCCCAGCGCTTGGTGGTTTCTGTCATCAGTGTGGTGTGGTACCTAGTTGGGAAGCTCCAGGACACCAGAGAGGGTGGACGTGGGGTCAGATAGGGAGGCGTTAGCTGCAGGCCTGGGGAGGTCTGTGTGTGTATTCTCGTCAGAGCCAGCCCAGCTGTGAGCTCTAAGCCCTAGTCCATCAGGGTGGTGTGCTTTCCTTAGGACTAGAAACGTAGCCTCCACCTGCCACCAAATGGTCTCTCACACCAGGCCTCCTGTCACTGCCTGGGTGTGTGAGCCAGGTAGCAATGACCTACCGTGTGACTGCCCACTGACCTTCTATCTGGCAAGTCAGGGCCTGGCTGACCACTCCTGTGTCCTTCTCCTTGTTTGCTGGCCACTGGTACACAAACAGGGATGTGTGGGAGGAGCCAGCATCAAACACGATCCCAAACTAAGGACAACATTGGGATCAGAAAGGCGTGGAGGCTGACATCCTGGCCACCCTGCCCAACATCCTCTTCCGGCGTCTGAAGCAAACCTTGGTGTCTGCAGGCAAGAAGACGTTGGTTGCCTTCACCAGGATGAGGATGAGCATGGTGAGGCCTGAAGTTGCTGCAACCCCCAAGAGGGCTGTGAAGACCCGCTCCTTCCAGGAGAGTCCCATGACAGGAGTGGTGAGCTGCAAGGGCCAGGTGGGTAGTCCTCAGACTGCCTGCTGCCCCAGCCCCAGCCGTTTAGAGGAAGGGTCTTAACATGTCCCAACTGTCAGACGTTGTCAAATCTGGGACTCAGACAGCCTCCCTTGTTCAGGTCAGCAGCCAGGACAGCCACAGTCAAAGAGGCCAAGATCAGTGTCCAGAGTCCAGCTGGGCAGGCCCCATATGGTCACGGAGCCTGGGGGCCGGTACATGAGGCACTGTCTAAGGGCACAGTCTGGTGGTGGAGCAGGACAGTCATTTCCGATGCCACTATCAAGGGCTAATGGAGGCCCCATGTGAACCCCCTAGATAGGCCTTGCCCTCCCTCTCCTTCTAGGCCCCTGCTGTCTTGACTCCCCATGAGGAGCCCCAGTTCTGGACTGAACTCAGGGCTTCATGCCAGGGTCTCCCAGTGCAGGACTTGTCTCTGGGAGCCTCAGGGAGTCCAGGGGCCAGGTGTGGGCCCTTCACGGGGTCAGCTAACATTCTATGCTTCTTAACAAAGACACCTGTTTCTTTTGGAAATCCTAAACTTGGGTTTCTTTGATGGGGATCTGAGAGATTTTAGCTGATCCGAGATGAGCCTGGGCAGCTGACCAAGGCTGACCAAGGAATGCCATTATCCTTGGTACTCAGGAAGGCTACACCCTTGTCTGTCCTGGAGCCCAGCAGGGGTTCTGAGTCCTTACCCACTCCAGCCCACCAACGTGCAGAGAGGTCCCTAGGCAACTCTCGGTCAACCCTGCCTCACGGCAAGCCTCACCGGACTAGTCAAAGCCTGAGTGTTCCCTGAGCCTCCAGCAGTTTGAAATTCTGTACTTTGTATCCCGTGGCATAGCCCCCAAGAATGAAGACACTCCCAGCATTTTGTGAGTGAACTAAGCAGAGGTTAGGACCTCTGGGGACAGACTAAGTGAGGCACGAGCCTTTGAAGGAAGGACAGACGACCTAACCAGTGCCCACGTGATAAATAACGCCAAGAAGACACAGACCATACCTCAGGGAAGTAGTCACAAAGAGGACGAGACGCACTCCCTTCACCCAGGACAGGCAGTCCCCTGCAGAGTCAGCCCAAGCCAACCTTCGAGAGCAGCTGGAGGAAGTTG